TAAACACTGCAGTGAAGCCTTGATTATTCTGCATTTGTGTCCTGCGTTTTGATTCCACATAAACATAAATGGTTAACTTACTCTGATATACTAGAATTTTGCCAAGAAAAATGTAAAATAAAAGCAAGAGAAGAGTTGGTGGCAGAAGAATACACACGTCAATGGTTTTCTTATGTATAATTATTAGAAAGACTTAAAGTAGATAAAATAACTTTTGGTTTTGACATTGTAAGACTGAATTTGAAACAGAACTGTGTACAAATGATGAACATGTTATTACTAAAATGTATACACTTTTATTGAAATTTGAAACAGAAGAAGAACAAGTGAAAGAATGTATGATAAAGTGGGCTAAAACTTTTGGTTATAATATACAGATTGAACATTGGGAGAATATGTGGTTGAAAGGACTAAAATTTACATTATGCCATAGTCTTAAAGATAATTTTTATAAAATGATGTATCACTGGAAAAATTGTCTAGAATGTATAAAGGTACATCACATTTATGCTAGAAATGGAAACAACAGGAGGGGACATTTTATCATGCTTGGTGGATAAGTAGGAAATTGCTTCATCCTGTTATTTCAAGACTCACCTCTTAATACTCCCCAAACTTTGCCAGCCTTTAACACAGCTGTAGGCTTTGATACTTGGAGCTGATCTTGAAAGGAAAAGAATATTTAACACTGAATTACTATTCAGTAAAACAAACCATGAAACAATCACTTAGGGAAGTAACACTTTGTCGCACACAGACTGCTTATATCCAACGGAAGCCAAATGTACAAGCAGGCCTCATTAAAGGAAACCATGGCCCATACAGGGTAAGTCAGCTTCCCACTACAAGCAGCTCCTAAGGAATAAAGATTTCTTGAAATCAGGTCTATATTACTTGTGATTTCCCCTGCCAAATGAAGCTTCTCAAGAAACAGATTTTGTGAACCTGCCTCACACCTCATCTCTTTTTGCAGTGGAACAGGAGAAATCAGCAAGCATTTCTGAGACGCTTACAGTATCTGGCTACAACAGTTTTCTCCATGGCTGGGATTGATAGGTGTTGTAGTACTTTGGTGCCTTTCATATGCATTAAGATTTCTAGCTAAACTGCAAAACCAAAGCACAAACAGAAATGTGTACAGTATTTTCCTGTTTCCTATTTTATGTCCCACTGCAAATACATTGCTCTGAAAAGGAAACAAAATCTCATTTCTCCTCCAGCTTGGAAAACATTGAAGGCCATTTATTCATGTAGGCCAGATACGTACCTACATCCATGAATGGATTGGGGGGGGGGGAAGCACTATTGACAGGATCACAATCAAACTGTATTTCCCCTACTGTATTTCTGAAATTCAGAATTCTTATGAATTCAAGATGACATCATCCCCACTTCACAGGGAAGCTTTCCTATTTTGTTAAATATAAAGCCTTTAATGGGGTGGAAAAAATTCCAAAATCAGTGCACTGACTCCTGAGCATGCGGAATACTAATGAACTGCATTGAGGAGGAGACGGAGAATGATTCAGAATGAGGAATTGAATGGAGTATCTTTGAGAAGGGCCCATTTGATAGAATACTGAATTTTACTGCCAGTCCCATTTGTGTTCATCAAATATTTCAATTATCCAAATATATGCAGTTCTATCTAATTTGTGCAGTGAACTATTTGCCTGGGTACATAGCATTCTTCTCCATCCATCTTTATAGCTAAATAAACTATGTGTAACGGCCTGTGAAAATAACCTTGGGAGACAGGAGGAAGAGCCACAGCCTAGACCAGCTGGCTGGGGAATTCTGAGAGTTGAAGTCCACATATCTTAAAGTTGCTAAGGTTGAGAAACACTGGCCTAGTCAATGGTCAGACAAAAGATATCTCAGCCCACAGAAGGGATGGTGATGTAGGAAGTGTTTCAGAAGGGACCCTCCCTAGTTCTCTGGAAAGTAAAGGCAGGGGAGGGGAGAAGTGCTTTCAGACTTGCAAGATACTGTTACTGTAACCTTACAATACAGGTAGTGTTAGTACTCATGGTTTGAGTTTCTTGTCTGGACAACCTCAAAGGGCTGACACTATGCCACTGTATCACACATACATTTATTAGTCACAATGAGTCTTGTTAGTCTGCAGTATAATATTTCACTCAATTACTCACCTGATAAAACTATTAGATAAGAAGGTGGTTATTACAGATGATAAAAACTAGTGCCCAATAACATACCCATGACATGTAAGAAAAGAAGGAAGACAGGCACAAGCCTGTACATAACTATACCATAAGATACTCACAGGCTTCATCTGATGTAATACTAGGGAATTTATCACATTCGGAATCCTCTGAAGTGATAATCACCTGAAGCGAGGACAATTCTGTTTCATAACGGGATTTTCCCCCATCTTGATTCTGCCACTTGGAATGCCCAAACATATATTCATAATACCTGGAAGTGAATCCAGTGGCACAGAAAGATGTTACTCAGATTTGGCATTGTCAGAACCCAAAGCAATAATTTCAAATTACAAGAAGGAAAGTCTTGATCAAAGATTAGGAAAGGCTTATTAATGGTTTGAGCCATCCACCAGTAGAACAGACTGACATGGAAGGTAGAGCATTCTCCTTTGTTCGGGGCTGTTAGAGAAAGGCTCGATGGACACCCACATTAGGGGTGTGGTACTAGGGAATGTCCTGCCTCCGCAGCAAGTTTGATTAAATGTCAAGCCTTTTCTATCCTTACCATTACAAATAATAGAATACATGCACACACACACATAAACACACGCACACACACACACACACACATATATACAGTGTGTATGTGTGTATGTATGTATGTATGTATGTATGTATGTATATATGTGTGTGTGTGTGTGTGTATGGAGAGAGAGAGAGAGAGAGAGGGAGGGAGAGAGAGAGAAAGAGAGAGAAAGTGGTATAGTTCTTGCCCAACTCTAATCTCAATTAAATCATTAGTTTTGGGGAGGGGGATTGCAGAAACTAATTTACCATTTTAGGGGGTCGCAGAATCCCTAAGCTTGAGAAATACAGCTGTGTTAGTTGGAAAGAGAATTTTGTTTTACATATTTGGAGAGAGAGGCACCTCTCATTAGAACTGTTTAAATCAGATATGTTTTCAATGATGTCCTGGAGAATCCAAAAATTATTTGGAAGAGTACCTTTTCATTCCACAACAAGAATGACAGTCTTCAGGGAGGGATAGCTAGCCTCCCACTAGGCAGCTTAGCCCCAGAAGAGTACTGGGTATCTACCCTTCATTTACATAGGTTGATTACCCACTCAGGAAGATCCAACTCCCAGAGTACTATTTTCAGGGAATGACATTGCTTCTTTTGTTTTTGTTCTTTTCATCCTTTTATGCATGTTATGTAAGAGTGTTATTCTTTTTTTAAATTGCAGTTATTGAAAACAGGTTTGGGTGTTCAGCTATTTGTGGGGATACCCAGGCTCTAATCCAGTGTTTCTCAACCTCAGCAACTTTAAGATGTGTGGACTTAACTGGGAATTGAAGCCCACACATCTTAAAGTTGCTGAGGTTGAAACACTGCTCTAGTCTATTCTTAACCATGGAAGCTTATTATGTGACTGTGTACCAGCCACTCCCACTCACCCAACCCACCTCACAGGATTGCTGTTGTGGAAAAAAAAATAAGAGGAGGGAGCATTGTTATGCCACCCTGGACTCCTAAAAGAAAAGCACGATATAAATAGACACAATAACAGTAATATACACAATAACCACCCAGAGTCACTGGGAATCAGGCGGCATATAAATTCAATAAATAAACAAACAAATAAATAAATAAATAAATCATCACACAAATGACATACTATACATCATTCACGTCATGAGGTGACTGC